CAGTTCAGCATAAATACCTTTTTGGGCAAGTGTAGAGAGACACCGGCAGAGGTTGCTGAAGATTTGAAGGGAAATTTGTTAATCTCTGCATTCTACAAAGGAAGAGGAATAGGAGTAGTTGATGCCTGGTGACTTCTTACCACTTCATATTTTTGTAGAAAAATTTTTGAAATTTCATAACTATCATCAAACTAATATATTTGAGATTCCCCGAGCCTATCCATACTTACCAGGGGTGGTTGTGGAGGCTGGGGAAATAGAATTGGAGGAAAAACTGGTGGTACTTGTGCTGGGTAAAAGTTAAATCTCTAAAAAGAACGTGTGATGTTAGTGATTTCAGACAATTGTAAAAATTTTAAAAATAATGTGATTTGAAATTGCAACTAGAAGTTTACCTGTGCACTGGAACTTCCTTCAGATTGGTCAAGCTTGTAAAAATAATAATGACAACAAGGTCAAACAGCATAGGGCAATCAATATATTATCCATTAGAGAGATTTAGTTTTAAATGAGAATAGCTAACAAGCCTGTATTGAGCATTGTGCCTGCTAGTGTAGTGGCTTCACCTCTCAAATAAAAAGCAGCTGAATATCTAATACGGAGAAGTTGAATTTATTTTGTCTTATTATTTAGAACACGAATTACTTTTTAACCTTAAACTTATAGCCAAAAGAATGCTCTTATTTACATTTCTTAAGATCAATTACATATTGCATTAAATGCTCTCATTTTAGTTTTTAGACTTTGTAAGTTCAAAATGAAGGGAGTATGGGAGTGTAAACTTAAATTTTGTATCCCCAAACACAACTTTTGAAAGATCACTCCTTCCAAAGCACTTTGGTTACAAAATATGCAGAGGAGACTGTTTTTTGCCTAGTTGATTCCATACATATTTAGACTGCAATAAGTACAGATTGGATTTGTAGATCTAATTTATATGGATTCGAAACCATAAATGGCAAAAGGTCTACAAAGGTGAAATTAATGGTGCTTTAGGATTACTATCTTTCATATATGCTGAGTTGCCCTCATTGTAAAATGCATCATTATTTCATATGTCACTAAAAAAGAAAAATGATCCTGTTAAACTGACACAGAACTGTATTACATGATATTGTTGGACACATCTCAATTTCAGAGATACTTAAAGTATCAAAACGCCAATAGGAGAATTAAGGAAATATACTGCATCATTTTCAAGAGCATAGAGAAAGGACCGCCTGAGTTGTCTAGAGTTCTAGACAATTGATAATACTTGTCAGGGCTGGGAGTGTAAGTGGTAGAGTGCTTGCCTAGCATGTGTGAGGCCCTGGGCTTGACTCCCAGTATTGGAAACAATAAAACCAAACAGAACTTGTCAACTTTGGGACAAAGGATTGTAGTTCCAAAAAGCAAATTAGGTTTGGTATCCAGGGGTATGATATGTGAATATAACTTGTTATTCAAATCTCGTTTTTAAAATTTGGACTTTTAAAGACTTAACTATATGTAATCCTTGTAGGATTTATCTTTGTACTGGACTCAAGTATAACTCTGGGATAAATATTCTTTTTACATTCACCAATAACTAATGGCCAGGGATTTAGCCCAGTGGTTCTGCTACCTGCCTCACTAATAACCAATGTAGTTAGTTTTAAACATTCCTTTTTGTAAAATCAAATCTAAAAGGAAGTAGTTACTCCTTTAGTCAGAGCATTTCTACAGAGGATTTTAAGAAAACCTGAGCTGGTTTAGGGAAAGGGTGTTATAAATGAAACTCAATTCAAACACAATTTAAGTTGGGGCCACTGCCGAATACCTGTTGTATATTGCTAAGTTTGCTGAGAGCTTCCTGTGTATAAGTTAAGACTTAACGAACTTGAGATGCATTTCTATCATGTCCATTCCACTCTGCAGTATAGACAGAGAAGTGATCAGTTAGCCCCTTGCCTAAGGTTGTGCAGATAGCAAAGTGCTCATGGAGCTGGGATTTGTGCTGCACAGAGTTTTGAACTGATGAAGAATTAACTCCTGATCCCATGACTTTCTTGGACTCCACTTTCTTCTTTGCATGAAATGAAAAGATAGAGGAAATACTTTCTAGGCCAGCACTCCAAAGACTCCAAATGTAAAATTGAGCTGGCCACCAAGGAGGGAATACTCACAGGGATAGGCAGGGCACAGACAGCACTCAGAAGGCCAGCCAAGATGAGACATTTCATTTTGAAGAGAGCCAAGAATTAAAGGTCAGGAGATCACTTCCAGTTTTCTGCTCAGTCTTAACTTCCATTGTAACTAGATTTTTTTTTTTGGTACCGGGGATCGAACTCAAGTCCTTGTGCTTGAAAGGCAGGCGGTGGAACCACTGAGCTAAATCCCCGGCTGTTACTAGATTTTTGAGTAGAGATATTCAATAGAGATCAAGCTGAATCCTCCTTCCAGATTCAGATTTTGTAAGCCTAAAAGAGGGCTTTAAAACACTTTAGAAAAGATCTGCACTCTTTTATTCATAATATTTTCTACTTCATCCAACTCTTCTTTATAACCTTACAGTTCAGCCTGTATCTCTTTGGCCCTTGATGTTATTTAAGTTTGTTATCTCTATACACAAATATTTAATGTTGCTCAGTGTTTATTGGGATTGATCATCACTAGCTTAAATGAGGGGGTAATTTTTATGTAATACATTAAAAACATCCACTTGGAGCTTGTGTCTCCTTGAGACTACATACAACCTGGATGCTGCTGTCGGCAATTACAGCTTCTTGAAAAGGAGAAAGGAGATCATGCAAAGCATAATGGGTTGGTAGAGGATAAGCGTGATATGAGTAAATTCAGTAGAGCAACTCAGTATGTTCTTTACTGGCTGGTTGGTTCTGAAAGTAAACATTTTACATTTAAAAAAAAATCATACTTAATTCAAATTAACTTACCTTGAAAATATCAACCTGAAGCACTGTACTCTGGAATTTGATTTTCGGAGAAAAACAATTTTATCACATCCTTGTTAAGATATTTATATATTTAATTACCTTTGCTTCAAAAGGCCCTTGGAGCAACACATTCAGGAAGCAGAGCGCTGTCTCAGGATCTCTGAGCCCATCTGCTATTTAAGCCATGTAACTAATGCCTTCATGGTCATGGGCAAGATGAGTCATACAGTTCAGAGAGGAACTAGATCTACCCTTGAGCCTAGCTTTGGTTTCAGACTGGGAATTCCAACTTCTGAAGAATTTCAGTTACACAGAGATAGTCTTAAATCCGGATTACTAAAATAATAATTTCGTCTCCTCGGTTGAGGTCAGAGTAGTTCTTTATCCCAACCAACTAATAATTAAATTATAACCACCAAGAATATTGAAGTGCGCCCATAATATGTCATACAGGGATAAAAATGATAGAGAAATTTGAAGTTTGAAAATTTCTGTTATTAAATATTTTCCTTTCATTAAATGCAAATTATTTTAAAATAATTTTGTAGTGAGAATTTAGTTCACATCTTAGCATTAAAATCACTTTTCCTTATTCTAGAACATTTTAAAGTTTGAGGGTAAAAGTAATTTAAGTTTAATGGCTCCAATCATGGTTTCTGATTACAGAAGCTTAATTTCTAATTTCTTAATTCCTGAAAATTAATTTCTAAAACTTGTGTTAAACTCTTTTCAAGTACATAATATAAAATATCAAATATTTCTAAAACTATTTCTGTAGTTGGAAAAAATTAAAAATTAATTTTGATTAATCAAATTGAACTTAATTATTGAATTAATGTTAGCATTAAGAGCAAAAGACTTAAGGAGCTAAGAGATAAACTAATCAGTGATAATTGGATTGAAAACCTCTAATAGGAAAATATGTTTTTTGAAAAACTGTTTTACATAAGTGAAATGAAGTGGATAAGGCTTTTTTTGTTTTGTTTTGTTTTGTTTTTTAATTGCTTTGCTGCAGAGCTTAGAAACTCAATTTGATGCCATTTGTATTTTTGTGACCCGCCTTTCACTGTCATAGTTACTAAGAAAGATCTTGAATCAAACACAAGTTTTCTACAGTACATTTTTGACCATCAGTATGTAGCAGTAATGCTTATTTCTCACCACATTGGCCATTGTGACACCTTGTTGTTCTCCACCTGCCTATTTCACCTTACAGTGCTTTTATTTTCAAAGAATGAAATGTATAGAAATTTTGTAGTTTATTACTTTTCAGTGAACACAAAGAACTGCACAAAAGCTGGAACTAGTTGGATCAAGCCAAGGATAATCATCTGCATTTTAAATTGAATTTGGTTAAAAGGCCCTTGAATTCATTTTTTGTTTAAATTTATATAATGACAGACAAGATTCATGAGCAGGTATGAAGAGATGTCTCCTGCGTTTCTCTGGCCACCTTCACTTTCTTTAAACAGTAGTGAGGTCCAGGAAGCATCATGGTAATTCTGTATGAACTGTGAGCCCTATTTTGATCTCTCACCAAGGTTTGTTTAAATTAATTTATTTAAATAAATGACAATAAATGAATAGACATTTGGATTTTTATGGACTTTATTAGAATATTAAGATACTGATAATAGATATTAATCACAAAACAGCAATATTACATTTTCTCATCAGGTGTGAATGATGCTATAGATGACATGAACTAGTTTTTCAAGTTTTATAATTAGTAGTTATCTTAAAAACTGATACAGAGAGTGAAATTACTATGAGTTAAATTGCTGTTCACAAACAGTGTACAGTCTTGTATATGTTGAGTTAAAAGATTTATCTCCTAAGTTAATGTTAATGCTTGGTACCTATATATTGTTACCATCTAATTTTCTTCTCGTACATGCAAACATTTTGCTATATATAAATCTACCAGTGTCATAGTTGTATATATTTCAGAAGTGGTTAGAACTGAGGAAGATGCTTGAAAGTTTGAGTTCTTTCAAATCTTAATTCAAAACAGGAGATTTTCATCTATGTCTTCTGTAAAAAAACAAAACAAAACAAAATATACTTTTAGAATGTCAAAGAAGTGATTGCATGAACAAACAGTGTTAGAACTGGAGGATCAGAGAAACCTAATACAGCGGTACAGTGGTGACTGACAACCCTAGTAGAGCATCGGCATTACTCATGATCTTTAAAAAATACATATTCTTGGGCCTTATCCATGGCTTCTGGAAGTAGAATCTCCAGGGATGGACCAGTGTCATGCAGACATACAGACATCCTTGCAGGTACTGCTGGTGCAAGGTTGAGATCCGCAGACAGGAAGGACAGGTTAAGAGAAAGCCCAGCCAAATATGCTTATATAAGGGCAGCTAAAATACAACAGAAAAAGGAAAAGTATAGTGCTAATTCAATTAAGCTTCCAATTGAGTAACTTGTAGAAGAACTTGCTGCCATTCTATGGAAGATGACAACATCCTGTAGGGAATGTTAGACCACTTCTTACAGCACAGCTCACCCAAATGTACTTGGATTGTGTTTGGTCAATAACTGTTAAACAAATATTTACTGAAGATTAATTTGAAGCATACTAAACAACTACTCTGTCTAGGTAGCAGGTAATTTTCCTGCCCAGTATAATTATCTAATCAATACAGAGGAAAGATTATGGACTTTGATATATTTCTTTTGAGTACTGACTTCATTATTAAAATGGGCATACTCGTTTCATTACTTACAATTTTTTTTGAGGGACAAGAGCTTATTAGGCAAAACTTGAAGTACACAGTCCCTCAAGAGAGAGGTGCCTCGTTACTTATAAGTTTATATTTGAACACATACTTTTGGGGCTGTTTCTGAGCTGTCCTGTTGACCTAAGGCTGATTCCTCTACCTGTGCTGAAGATTGCTTCTGACCTCAGGATTCTCTTTCTAACCCCACCCCCATATTCTTCACTTTTCCTGTTTGACTAGACCCTTCCCCTTGGTAAGTCTGATACTCTTAAGTGAAATGAATAGGACACACATGTATAAATACCATATAGTTTCTCTGGTGTGGTAAACTAAAAGTGTAAATGTCAAAAATGTATAATTGATATTTTGTAATAAGAAGAAAAGGTCTAAAGGTATTGGGAAAATGGGAGGGGTAGGGGAAAGGGAAAAAGGGAAGAGAAAAAATAAGAGAAAAGAAAAAAATGGAAAGAAAGTCTTTGTAAATAGGGAAGGTTGGAGGGGGAAAGGGAGGCTAGGGGAATGGGGAAAAAATGAGAACCAAGACCTGTCATGTAAAGGTACAGGATCCCAATGATGAATGTAACTGTACTGTTTACCTAAAATGTACCAATAAAATGTTAAAAAAATAAATACTGTAAGTCTGGCCTCTAGAACAGTGCCTATTGTAAACCATCAGTAAAGTGGACGTTGAGTGACCAGGTGAGTGGATGAACGAATGAATACATCAACTGCTCAAGCCTCTTTATTCTAAAAAAAATGCTTCTTGCAACCCTTGCTCTTTCCTGCCTTCAAGCGTTCCCTTTGTCCTTTCCCGTCTTCCATTCTTTCTCAGCCTATAGAACCTGGTTTCTATCCTGACCACTCCACCAAAACTGCTCTTAGCAAAGACTAGTGTCTTGTTTCCACATCTGGAGAGCACTGTCATCCTCCCGTCCTCCTTGGCATTCCAGCAGCATTTGGCACTGGCATTCTCTCTCCCCTCTTTGAAACCTCCTTTGGCACGAGACTCTCCTGGTTGTCTCCTTCACTTCTGCAGAGGCTCCCCATTCCCTTAGTACACTCCTTCCTCGCGTGTCCATTGTCTAGCTGCTGCTGTTCCTGGGTGCTCCGCTCTAGACCCTTTCTCATGTAAGTTCTCTTTGGGAGAATCAGTTCCCTTCCTTTGTGTGCATTACTTTCTGTATGTTCCCAATTCCAAGATAAACATTTTGTTTCCAAAACTCTTGTCTTGAAATGCAGACCCACATGATACTTCTCTCTCCATCTGTCAACTGTCTGATGTTCCCATCCCACATTCCCCATAGAACCTTGCCTTCCTATTTTCTATGTACTGTATACTTTATACTTTCAGTTGCTTGTATTTAAATATCTCTGTTACATCTCTGTCTGCCCCTGGTCATTCCCCTGTTCAAGTTCTTTTCCACTCTTGCCTGGATTTTTTCACAGTAACTTCTGAGCTGTTCTCTGGCCTCTCCATTATGGGACCAGAGAAGTCGGTCTTCAGCAAAGACGCCTTTGATAGTTCCTCAGCGCTCTTTAGATAGTGTCTCTGAATAGCTCAGTAAGCCTTGTGTGATCTGACTCACTTACCCTAGTAGTCTCAGTTGAAAGTTTTTTTTTTTTTTTTTTTTTTTTAAAGATTAATATGGACGGGTCAGGGATTTAGCTTAGTGGCACCACGCCTGCCTCACAAGTGCAAGGTCCTGAATTAGAGCCTGGTACCAAAAAAAAAAAAAAAAAAAAAAAAGAATTGATGCCAATACCCTCATAGGCCCCCAGTCAGTCTAGCGAGCCTCATTATTGTAGGTAAAGAGGAGAGACTCACTGAGGTTAAGCAGCATGCCTACTGCACGTAGCTAGTGAATGAGACCGCTGAAGTATCTGAACACTTCTGGTTCAGATCCTGGACCGTTTGCACCCGGGAAAACACTGGTATCTCCTTCATAGATTTCTCAGCTCCAAGGCAGGGAATCTGATGATTTTTAATTTTTTTAATTTCCCCAGCTGTATCCCAAGGGGACAACTTGTTTACTTATTCTGAGTATTTAATATCTGTGTTATTGGTTTATTATGTATTAATTCTTTCCTTTCTTCAAAATAACCTAAAGACAGCCAAACCACAGGGCACAAACAAGATCATTAGCAGCTTTGCAAGGCAGTGATCTGTAAGTCCTTCCTGCTCCTCCCAGACAACATCCAGCACAGAGCTCACTGAGCTCACAGGCTGATGAGCTGCCAGCAGTTTTGCAAAAGGAATGGCCAAGAGCAACTGGTTTCCTTAAATAAGCCTTCATTCAAATTGGCCTTTTTTCGGCCCTTTGAAATTACACATTCTGCCAGGTGTGGTGACGTCTGCCTGTGATCTCAGTTCTTGGGAAGCTGAGGCAAGGAGAGGATCACTGCGAGTTCATGGCCAGCCTGGACTAGAGAGTGAGTTAAGGACAGCCTGAACGACATAGTGAGAACTTGTATAAAATAAAATAAAATTACACGTCTTGTAAAAGGGCATAGGTAGAAATGTCCCATTCCACTTAAGTTCCCTTTTTTGATGATAGCATGGGGTAGGGTGTGGGGCAGCTGTCCTTGGTACTCGTTGTCATTTTAATAGGGGAGCTGGGAAAGACAGTTTTAGCCTTTTTTAGGGCCAGACTTGAATTTTTAATAAGTACTCTACTTAAAGAATAGATGCTAGAAAAGAAATTAATATTATTTGTGTGTCTGTACCTTAATAGCTTATTAATTTCACATCAGTGCTGACAAGATCCAGCCTCTGAGATGGTCTTCAATGATCCCCCACCTCCAGTGTGACCATTACAATATGGCAGAATTAATAGAATGGGCTTCAGTCTTTTTCGCTCTCTCTCTAGCCAGAACCATCCAGTGAGCTATTCTGAGATTTCTGACCCTTGAGACTATGAGGGAAATTTCAAGCTGCTAAATTTGGAGTAATTTGTTATGCAGCATGGACAGCTGATACACCAAACCAAGTGCTTAAAAAATAGACATTATTACAGTTATGTTCATTTTACAGAATAATATTTTAGAGGAAAAGGACTAACCATTTTTTCTGACCTATTTATGAACAAATATGTTCTCATCCTCTCAGTTTTTTCTCTGATTTCAAGACACTGTACATTGGCACGAAGACTTTTTAAAGTGAAATTCACATAGGTTATCTCTTCTTGGGAAATTCTGACCTTTGGTGAAAACTTGCTTTACTATGCTGATTGGCTAGGGTTAGACATAAAACTTCTCTCTGCTTTAACATTTTGATGTTCATTATTACTTATATTCTGTAAACAGTTTCAAAGCTTGTTTTTAAACACTTCATAACTTGATTATTGAAAACTTTCTCATGAAATTCAACTCAAACTTAGGAAAAGAAAAGGAAGTAGATCATGGCATAACCCAGCATAATCCATGTCTGAATTTAAATTCTTCTGTTACAAGAAAAAAGAACTACCTAATCTCCATACCTCCACACCCACCCTAATTACTGAAGATGCAGCCATGGGTCTGTTTTTGGATTAAGGATTAGTACATGAGTACAACTTGTGTAAGATCCCATCTTTAGTGGGTTGGTAATGACTTCTAAGGTGTCTTCTGACATCTTGAATTTTCAGATGCAGGCTTGCTGTTTTATCTTCATGTGTGATTTTTTTTTTGTGTGTGTGTGTGTGTGGTACCAGGGATTGAACTCTGGACCTTGCGCTTGTGAGGCAGGCAGTGGAACCACTGCGCTAAATCCCCAACACTTCATGTATAATTTTTAAAAGTTTTACTACTCAGGTTGAAGAGGGATATAAAGTGAGGAAGCATACAGAGCCTTCTGAGACTTGGCACAGCTCTCTGGATTCATATTGCTTATCTGGCTGCTGAACTGTCACTGCATATTCCCCCTTGCCCTCTGGAATCAGAGTGACCTTGCACTGACAGCCTGTGCACAGGGCAGTCCTGTTGGGGACACTGCCACCTCAGCACCTCTAGGTATCTCCTGGAACACACAGGACTATGCACTTAGGCTGGCAGGGCTCAGGGTTTATTTGCGAAAGAAAACACTGCTGTCCTTTGGCTGATGAGGAATTTACCTTCTTTAATTCCAAAGCAGTGGCCCCACTCCTTCAAGGTGATGTGCTTGTCCTTGTTGGGGTCACATTCTTCAAAGAAGCGGGTTATGCAGTGTTCCATGGGTACCAGAGAAGCACGCAGAGGAGCAAGCTCAGAATGTGTCAACACCCTGCAGTGAAGTAAAAATACCAGCCTGTTTGTTACCAGAGTAGTTTGTGAATGAAGATTTGTATGTCAGGGTCATCCAGAACACTTCCCTTCCCCAAAGTGCTGTGTATGCTAGACATATAGTACATAGAGTAAAAACTAAATGTGGGTAAGTTTGTGGGTAAGACCGATAGTTTTTGAGATGTCAGTTCCCCTGGTTTCTGTCTCCACTGGAAACTGTCCTCCCTCTCCCCTAAATCTGTAGATGTACACCCAGCGATCATGCTTGTACAACCGGACTCTTACACACTGGTGAGATTGTTCCTGATGTAGGCACCTACCACAGTTTGGCCATCAGAGTATCATAAATTTAGAATCAAGAATGAGAAGGTTGAAAGAGTCTCTATGGGAAGCTGGATCTTAATATATAAAATTGGGAGGTATGGCATAGCCATATTCTGTTGTTTTCAAAATTTTGTTTTTAGACTCCTAACTATGATTATTTGCATCTCATTGTTCTAAAATGGAACTTGGAATCTTCCTAATTTTATTTTAACTTCTCCTTTGCATAGATATCATCATATTATAGAGTGACTTGGTAATGGGGAGGTAAAGAGTTTTTACCTGTCCATAGGATGCCGGTCAAGTTCATTAAACTGCCAGTGTACAGGATACACATACATATGGTAGTTTTTCTTAAAGTCCCTTAAGAGAAGTTCAATGGGATGGTCCCCAGCCAAGAGTCTCTTCTCATCCAGGTAGATTTTCTTGACCTGGGATTAAAGAAGGGACAAGATTGTCAGAATATCATCAGACGAGGTAACAGAATTGCCACTCGTTAAGCTGTACTTGAAAAGACAGCAAAAATGTGAGAGAGGAAAACCTGTCCAGGACCTAAATGTCCTAAATGTCTTCTAATCAACATTACAGTCTTATAGAATAAAGCTGATGGAAGAAACTAGTGGTTTTCAAAACAATTCAAACCTTTAAAAAAAAAATCTTCTCTTTTAACCAAGTTCATCACATTTATTTTTTAAACTTGCGAAGGTTGTAATGAAAAAAGATGAACTGATTTAGGCAATATTCTTGATTAGTTAGTGAAAAATCCTGCTCCTTCCCCAAGTGTGCACTCCAACCTTAACCGTCTGTGTGATCCAACCAGCGTCTGCTCAGTCCCCATGTAGCCTGATCTGCTACTGAAATTTTCAGGATGAGCCCGTGAAATTCCTCTGTTTCAAACTTAGTGTGCTCAAGGCTGTCTATGTTGATGTATTAAAGAGGGAGGACAGCGATTACCCATAAGCAATGCACAGGAAGCTCTTACCTTGGGTAATTGCCTCTTTACTGAGCAATTGGAAGCAATTACACAGAACCTCCAGCCTGTCCCACCCACCCATTGGACGACTTCCCTCCGCATTACCAGCAGTGAGCTTCCTATGCTCCTAATGTAAGCCTCATTCCACACTTTTAGCCTTAATATATTATTGACATTATGAGAAATAGGTTTCCTTTGTATCATACATCTAAATCTTGTCTGTGAGGGGAAAAAAAATCTCAGATTTAAAACATGTTTGGATCTGGAGCGCCCCCAAGGCCCCTGTGTTTAAGGCCAGGCTTTGGGTTGGGGGCCCACTCCTGGAAGTGGGTGGGAGGTGGACAAGCTGAGTTGGAAATCTTTCAGTCCCATGGGGTAGGTAACTCCTCATAGCTGGCCCCTCCCCTTCCTTCCTTCCCGCCTCACTGAGAGGCAAACAGCTGACTCCTTCACAGCAGCCTGCCATGACTGTTGCCTCAGCAAGGCCCGCACGATGGAGGCGCTGGATCAGGGACAGAATGATCAAAAGTGTGAACTGTAACAAACCTTTACTCTTTTTGAGTTTTATCATCTCAGATACTGGTTACAGTAACAAGAAAGCTGGCTAACACAAGACCTAACTATACAAATTCTGATTTTGTATTAACTTAGCTTAACAACAGCTTGCTCTAGGTGTGATATAAGGAGCCCTCATTCCGGCCACTGCCTTTGGGAAGGAATGGGACAGTTAGACAGGGTCCCAAGTCTTGTGGCGCAAAGGGTGGCCACTGCAAGGGTTTTAATCCTTGGGCAGAGGCAGAGTGGGCTTCTGTCACTGTCCAGAGGTGGATGGCCCCCGCCGCTCTGTTTCCTCAGGCCCCGTAGACAGACACATAGGCCGTGGATAACTTACCTTACTTCTCTGCTTCTCGTTTAGATACCCAGCATGTTTAGGATTAGGTTCATAAAGCTGCATGAGGATATTTTTGAGCCAGTCTCTCATTCGTAGAGGAAACTGAGCCACTTCAAAGTCCGTACAAACAGGAATAGCTGTTAACAGCAAAAAATGTATTGTGATCTTTGGGCCTTGTTTCTGCCCTATGACAAGTCCTCATAACTGGAAGCTCAGCAACTTCTGGAGACTGACGGAGCTTCCCCTCTGCCCATTATTACAACAGTGGTGCTTGACACTGTGGCACGGCAGAACTGCCTCCGTGTTTAAAAACATCAAATGCCAGTTTCCACTTAAGGAAATTCTGCTTTGATTTGTTTGGGGTTGAGGCTGGACATCAGGATGTTTCAAAAGCTCCAAAACCAATTTCTTATGTATGGCTAGGACTGAGAACCAGTGCTTGAGAACAGAGAGCTGGAATTTAGAAGAGTGAGGCATGAGAGCTGTTTATTAGAGGAAGAGGAAAAAGTAGCACATACTACAGTAAGAAATAATGCTAAATCTCAGTGGCGTAAAGAAACAAAAGCTCATCTCTCCATCCTGCTACCAGTCCAGAACAGGTAGGCAGGAGGGCTTTGTGCTTTGTAGTCTCTGCTGGCCTCATTATTTGCTGCTGCTATCTCAAGACAAGACTTTGAGGATGGTTGTGGCAAAGAGGGGGCATGGAGAATCATATACCAGCTCTTAAATTCCTCTGTGCAGGACACACAGGGATGAGTCAGCTCACTCACTGGACAGGTCAGGGCATAGCACCATGCTTAACATCAAGGAGACTATGGGTTTAATCCTTTTAGGGCTGGGAAGGGAAAGAGAACAGAGACGTGGTTGCAGGATTTTTTTGTTCCTGAGAGGAGTTAAATACAGTTGAGAGCATCCTGGGGAAGGATGACTACTTTAGAAGACTTCTGGGAGAATATATTGTCATAAAATTCTAGACAAAGACTTACATCGGGAAGAGGACAAATAATTTAGCAAAATTCCAGTAATTCATATCTGTAGTTCAATGGATAACATTATCCTCGTGGTTCTGAGCCCTGGCTGCACATTAGAATTGTCTAGGTTACTTGATAAATAAGTGAAAAACAATGTCAGGGTTCCAGCCCAGTCCAATTAAATCAGAATCTCCTATGGTTAAGGCCTGCGAATTCTTATTTTTTAAGTCTCCCTGGTTGACTTGAGAGTTCCCTGTTACCTGCATTCATAGAATTCAGCATGTACAGATTCACCCCAAGCCTTCCCAGAAACGATGGTTGTAGTCATGAGGGAGTCTTACATTTGCAGGCCCCAAAATAATCCAGCTGCAGTTGGTGTCCCTTTTTGGTCCCCTCCAGTCGGCACTTAGTGGCAAACAGATGACAGGAGCTCACGTAGGTCTGGTTGTCAGTGCCACAAGCCTGGGAAAGGCAAGTAAGAACAAAAGCAGATGGAAAACACTCTCCGGAGAACTCAGAGGATGGCTGATAATGGTGCCGTGCTGAAGATGTGGTCGGGTAGGTAAGACTGTTACAGCTACAGGTCACCCCGCAAGCATAACTTCTCTTACGTGAGAAATCCAAATTATACATAAAGAGCAAAATATGAGGTGAATAACAGGAAGTAGAGATACACATGTTTCTCACAAGGGGAAGGAGATGAAGAGATGGAGAGGGCGGAAAAGGGACCAAAATTATGTTATGAAATTATTATTATTATTATTATTATTATTATTATTATTATTATGTTATGAACATGTACAAACTCCCCACAATAAATGTAATCATTACTGCAAACATGTACTGATTTTGAAAATGACACTAAAAAACTCTCAATTCTCCAATATAGCTAAACACGACAACAACAACAAAAACAAGCAAACAAAAACAAAAACAAGCAAACAAAAAAACAAAAACCAAAAAAAAAAAAAAAACCCCAAAACACCCAGCCCCAACTACATCACTGGCAGTGACGGTTGAGGTCAGCAGGGTGACTGTTGCAGATGTTCCAGGGATAAATGAGTTTTCAAATGAGTCTGAACTCATTATTACACTGTTATGGAATAGCTAAAATACTTTAATTCATCTAACATTTGTTTTTGTTCTGTATCACTTTAAATATTAGATGATAACCTGTGCATCTACTTCAAAAAATGAGAGAATGCACTTGCCCACTCTTTTCATTCAGGTTGCTGCTGTGGGACTGCTTTGCTTAACACTCACTTGATCAAGGGGTTTTGCTGGAGGACAAGTCTCCGGGTCTTGGCAGACACAGTGGGGTTTTCCCTGTGGCTCAGCCTTGCAGACGTGCCCTCTTTTACACTGGAAGTTCACACAGGAATCTAACAGGAAAGTTTGGAAGGAAACATGGACAAAGAGAAATTGAGTGCATGAATGTAAATTAATCTGGACAGTTAGGTTCATTTTCATTAAGAAGGCAAGAGCATTTGAAACTTTTGAAATTGGTAAATTTGCCAGTGGGAAAACATGAGTAGCTGCTTTAATTGTATGTATTAATTCTCAGGTGGAATCTTCTGGCATCAGATTTTAACATGATAGTTTAGATTTCTTCTTGCGCCAGTTTAGAAGGGAGACGCAAGAAGAAACAGTTTTTGTTGGCCTCTCTGGGTTGCATAGTGTGAAGTGTGTCGGGCAGATTCCTCAAACATTAAATAAGCCAGGAGAATTTTATTGTATTAAAATTTAAAATGTTTGTGAATGGGGTAGGAATTAAGCCCTTCATTAAGTAAGGGATCTAAGTTCAGTAGTAAATTATGGATTTGGGAAGCAATGAATAAGGTTGAAACCAATTAGGTTTGCAATGATAGATCAATGGGCTTTTTAGTTTTTCAACACATTACTCCAGAGTTTATTAAACAAACACAGGAATATATCAACAATTGTTGGAACACGTCCTTTCGGAGGATTGGGGAGAGGGAAGGGAGGGGCAAAGCTGGAATTTGCCAAAGGGGCAGATTCAAAGTGACAGATTCCACTCTTCCTGGACGGGGTCATAGGGGCTGGCTGCCAGCATATTCACCAACACTGTGTTCCCGCGTGTGGCCTTCACTCCAAGTCTCTTCATTGGATGAGCTCTGCGCTTTCTTGGCCTTTAAAATAATAAGAGCAGAAGTTAAGCCCTGTTGGAGGAGAGCTGTTAATTAGTACATACATTATAAATTATAACTCATATCCCCGTTGTGTATACTTCTCACACCCAAATAATTTCAGGTTTCAGAAAGGAACGAGCGGCAGCTGCAGAGCTAGGCGGTGATATTTGGAGGACAGAACCTCGCCTGTCTTCACACAGTGCATTCAGAGCTGTATCCCAGGGGATCCAACACGAGTTAAAATTTCCCTTTTGGAGTTGGAAAACACTAGCAATGCAGAATTTATTACGGTGACCATTCTGTGAATAAATTATATCAGAGATCTCTATGAAGTTGTTGGTAAAGCTTTCTGAGCAGATTTTAAAGTGTAAGATAACTCCCACTTTAGAATGGCAGCACTGTTTTCAGCAACTGAGATTGCTATTGACCTTGCTCCCCGTGGCTGTGCCAGTACCCCCATGGGTGGCTGTTGGAGTTTGGCATGAAAGCTCCAAATGATTAAACAGCCAAATAAGTTACTTTCCTCTTGCTCCCTGTGATTTCCAGATTTTCATTATGGTGTGTCTTTGCTTAATAAAGCGGTACTGCCGTCTTCATAGCTAACTCATCAGACATCTTCTCTCACTACGTCAGAGGTATCTTGTTGGACACTGATGATTTAACTGGAAGGTAACATGGCATCTGCTTTCATTGTATTGGAACTGCAGCTATTTCCTGCATCTGTTAGAACTTATTACTGCTACTGCCAGGGACTTTCACCTGCCTCCATCTACATTTCTGGTCACAGAAGACCATTTAGAGCTATTTGGTCTGCTCAAAGGACAGAAAATTCAAATTTTGAAATGCTCAAAAATTGAAAACTGAGCACTGACAAGATATAACAAGTGGAAAATTCCACACCTGACCTCATGTAATGGGTTGCAGTCAAAAGGCATGTCCACTAAAGATACTGTATAAAATTATCTTTAGGCTAAGTGTACAGAATATGTATGAAACAAATTAATTTTATGTTTAGACATGGATTGTTTTTCTAAGATATCTCATTATCAGAAAGGAGCTAAAGGTGTAGGGAAGGTGGGGTGGGTAGGGGAAGGGTAATAAAGGAAAAGAAAAAAATGTGAGATAATGAAAAGATGAAAATAAAGTGTTTGTAGATGGGGAGGGGAGGAGGGGGTGAAGGGAGGGCAGAGGTAAGGGGAGAAAATGAGAATCAAGACTTGTCATGTAGAGGTACAAGATCCTAACAATGAATGTAACTGTACTGTATCCCTAAAATGTACCAATAAACTCAATTAAAGCTGAAAAAAAAGATATCTCATTATCTCCTCCATATTCTGAATTATGAAAAAATAGGAAATCTGAAACCCTTCCTGTCCCAATCGTTTCAGACAAGGTTTATTCAACCTATATCATATGTCAGTAATTCACTGATAGAAACGCACACAGGAGAAGGTGATAGCACAGAGAAAGGGCCTGGCTGTTTGTTAGTAGTCCACATAATTGGGGCGAGCATTATTATAAAGAATCTTACCCCTTGGTGGTCTCCGGGCTCACGGGTGTCTACATTCTCATTCTTACGTGCTCTTTCTCTCTCCTCTTCATATTTGAGGTGATAGGACATGGATTGGGACTTTTCAACCTCTATAAAGTCCTGGCTTGGGACAAAGTAGTCATCACCTGCACTGTGCTTTGCGTCCTCATTACCCCCATCAGAATCAGCCCCATGATTTCTGGGTGCCATGTGACTATCATCAGTAGGACCGATGAGCAGAGCCTCAGAAACAGACTTTTTATCTGTGTCCTTAAGATTGCCAAGAGCCTCAAGGCCCGTTTCTCCTTCTTGGCTCTGCCATTCAGTATCTTGAATGTGTTTATGGATGTTTGAGGCCCTGTCTTCTTCTGTTTCTGCATTAGAATTGTCTTCTTCTTCTTCCTGGTTACCTTGCTCAGGCCCATCCTCCTGCATCTTGCTTACTTGAGTCGGTTGACTGGATGTGTCCAAGGTATCATCAGAGTGCTTATTGTCTTCTTCCTGCTTGCTGTTAAAATTTTCCTCTGGAAATTCTTTCTCACTGTCTGGGTTATCCATGGGGGTGCCATCTTCCCCTGGATCTTTTTCCTCTTCCTCTTCTCCATTGGGAATATTTAGATCCTGCTCTTGACTTTCTTCTTCTTTTAGGTCTTGGTTCTGTGTACTGTTCTTGATCAACTGAAGGTGTGAATCATTTACAGGCTGTTCTTCGTTTTCTTCTCCCTGTGTGATGTTTTCTTGTTGGTTAGAATCCACAAAGGAACTAGCACTGGTGGCCGGGAAATCAATGTTCTCTGGGAGATTTTTCTTTTGTGACTCGCTTGTATCTTCTTTTGGCTCGAAGTTACCTTCAGTTGGTGAAAACTCTACTTTCACACTTAAATCGTCATCGCTGTCCTGATCTCCCAAGCCCAGCTCGTGGCTGTGGTTCTTGTCCTGTTCGGCAGACTGTTTGTGGGTTCCCTCTTCTGAAGTTAATACTGAAGATTGTTCATCCTTAGAGGAAAAAAAGTTTGTTTGTTAAACGGATGATAATGCCATCACATTTAAACATTTCCTAAGGTAGCATTTAATATTTACTCTTCTTTTTCTTCACATATTATTATACAAATATATCTATGATGTTCTTTATGTTTTATAGACATAGGTTCAACTGGAATTTGAATTGTAAAATAAAAAAAAATATAGCATTTAACCTGAGGAGTAAAACTCATTAATCCTTATAACTTCTAATGATTACAGGAAGTTGATGGGATGTCATGTTTAAAGTGGTGACATGAATAAGGTAATCACTTTGACCTTGCTTTGGATATTAAATCCTTATGAGAACTAAAAGTATCATATTAATATGATGATGTTACTTCTACCTTATGGTTGGGATCATTTTCTGTGGAAGCTGTAGTTTCCTTTTCATTGTTTGCAGCTTCAATTCTTTCAGTAGGGATTTCCTTATTTTTGGGTGTTACCAGTGTTTCAGCGGTTGGTTTGGAATGATCAGATAAAAATCTTGCATTTGTCTGAAAGAATTAAAAACTTGTTTGTGTTATTCTTATCTAGATGCCATGTAAAAGTTGGTAGTTTTTCTTTTGTTATCATTAAGAGTAGCTCTATGCTTCATGCATATCATCCGTTAAAACATTCCCTAGAATTTTTAAGGATACAAGTGAATGCTCAGAGTATAATGTTCAGTGAGAGAATTCTAATTGTGTTGAAAAAAAGTCATACAGTATATGCAAAGGTTGGGTGAAAATTGGACATCAAAAAAGAAAGTAGTTCAATCACGATTGCCTTTGAATTTTGGAATTACTTTCTGTTCTTTAAATTTTTACAAAGCATTTGTACCGTATAATTTTGAAAAGTGTTATTAATTATAAATTGGAAGTCAAATAAAATTAGCCACAGGATATAGTATTATGAATTTCCTTAATACTTAAGTATCCATTGACAATTAGCAGAAAAGCTTGTAAAATATTTTATTAAATATTTGGTTCTTAAAAGGTAGGCGTTCCCATCTACCAGGAAACCTTTTAATAAAAAGCATTTTAGTCTAGAACTAATTCAAAGATTATGTAAAGCAAGGCTGGGGGCCTGGTAGATAAAGACACCTGTGGAGGGTTATCCCAAAGAGAGCGATGGCTGTGCCTGTTTCCAGGGAGGCTGGGATGTGGGAGAAGAGCTGGGCAGTGGTGCATGATGGGGAAGCTCAGAAACTTCACCCTGAGGCCTTCCTTCAGTTCTTGATTCTATTTACTTTCTATGTGTGGTCGACAAGTTGTTAATTTCTACACTATTGTCTCTAAGGTGAAGTGAGCAGCCACGCCAAGAAAAATTTAGGTATATAAAATGTACTTTAAATTTTAAAGTTACCTAAGTTAAAATTACTAATGGTAATATCATTCACCATAGCTCTTCTTATGAAGATGCTGTGAATATCAGACAGCAGGCATATCTAGGTGTCAGTACAAAGCTCAGACTTTGGGTAAATTCATTTTTACTCCATTAGCAAGTCCTGTGGGGCTGACTGTGGACTATATAAAGCAAGCCATGGGGTATAGATCTATCTTTAATTTGTTTTCCTCTTTTGCTTCTTATCCCCTTTTCATCTAAAAGGGTTAATAGTTTTTGACAAAGTTTCAAAAACAGCTATAAAGAAAGAGGAAAAGGAAAAAGAACGGTGTCTCTTTTGGTGCATTGCCATGACAGTGACGGATGGGGAAGATATTAGGTTCATTAGTGGAGGACCATGATCTCTCTCTGCTCCCCTCCTCTTCCACTCTGTTCTCTGAGCAGAAAGAAATACAACAAATCCATGGCTGCTCTTCTTCTTCAGAAATACATGGTCGTTAAAATTCTCCCTTTTCATCGTGCCCACAATTATATTTATTCAACATGCCCCCTGGAAATCCATTTGGACTTTCTCAACCACACGGGATCCGAGCAGGTGAGAAAAATGGTAATGAGATTTTCAATAGGTCAGTCCTCTGAGAAGTTACAGTATTTCCTCATTTGGCTGGGTCTGCTGATACCACATTGCACTAGAAAAGAAACATCTGGAATGTGTCTGTAGGGAGGCGTGGCATGTAAACATTTGGTTCAAAGACACTTTTGATGCTTATTTACAAAGCCAAAAACATTGCAAAGGCAAAACAAAATTTTCTTTTTCAGTAGAAAACAATGGTTTGGTGGGTGGGAATTTCTTTCTGTGATAATTTGTTCTGACTTTGTAATTTCCAAGTACAATGTATAATTTCAGCTGGACTAGCTCCATGTTCCTTAAGCATAATTCTTAGCTGTGGTCATAAATTCTGTTTCCTAAGCACTACTTGAAATGGGTGGCATGGACTTTGTTTCTGCTGACACAGGTGTCAACCAGAAGCAGCCGTCAATTATTCAAAAAGCAAGAAGAGGATTTTAGAACTAGAGAGGAATGGAGGTAAGGGACAATGGAAAAAGGGCTTTGTCTATTTAAATGAGGTTGTTCTTCCATTTGATGAATGAGAAAAAATAGTATAAATCCTTTGGTTTAACTAAAGATGTTATGAATCTTTTGTAGGACATCTAAAATTATCATCCCAACCCTGGCTCCACTCTGTGCTGCATTAGGGTTGCTGACATGGTTTTCAGGATCGTGTGTTTGAGTGCAGCTGCTCTACTGCTTGTGCACGGTGGGACCAGTCTATCTGGCCTGGATGGAGAATGCATTAGTCCTGTCTTCTTGTTTGAACAGCATCACAAAGATGAGCCAGTTTGTGATGACCATAGCATTCTTGATACCTAAACCATTGGTTCCTGTTTTCATTACAGATTCAGAATTTCTCAGCCAGTATGTATTTGATCTTGAAGAAAATGCTGGTGAGTTACACGTACACTCCAAGTTAAATTCTTCTATGTCTCATAGCAATGTGATAAGATCCATAGACTTTATTTCTTCCTGTCCTTATGGTATTTGGGCATATTCTGTAGCTAATAAACTGATAACACTTTTAACTATACATTTATTGTATGGAACCTGATAGTTCTGAGAGATATTTTTCAAAGTTGCCTTATCTTGGTTTTTTAAGTCATGCATTCACTGTCTGGACAATAAAGATTATAATTAAAACAAACAAGAGAATTTCAAGGCACTGTTTAAGAAAATATTCTTTTAGGTGGAGGGTTTCTAAACTGGATGTCAAGAGGGAGACAGGTAACAACAGAAGCAGGGAAGTTTACCGGGATTGCAGCTGTGGTTCCCAAGAGACATAGGAAAAAAAGTTCAGTCTTCATGGTTTCTAGACCTGTGAACCAAGAAAATAATTTCATTGATGAGTAGATGTTTCCTTAAGAAAGATAAAAGACAAGCTTAGCAAATAGTGAATTTGATACTATCTTTACAGATGAACAGGTCTGAAAAGACAGATTAATGACAATTATTACCTAATTTTTTCTCTGTGAAAATTGCTTCTTTGTCCTCTACAATGAAATAAGCATTAAACTAACTGGCAGAAAACCTTGGGCAGGCAGGCCATTTACCCTTTCTTAAAAATAATTTTCTTTAGGGCCAGGGATTTAGCTCAGTGGTTTAGTGGCCTGCCTTGCAAGCACAAGGACTGGAGTTCAATCCTCGGTACCAAAAAAACCCCAAACTTTTTCTTTTGCAAGGGGCAGTGAAAAGGACCACCTAGGCAATCTTCTCTACATTTTAGAATTCTAAAACTCAAAACAATTTTATGAATTTCATGAACCTCTAAATGCTGCTATCTTTTCCCCTCAAATTAGCAAGCCTTCTAAAATATATTTTGTGATTATTGTATCAAAATAACATCTTTTATATACTGAATTTAAAGTTAAGAATAAATATATGTGCTTTCTATTGTTGATCATTTAAAATGTTTTATTCTCTTAGTAAATGCTAATTGTAGAGTCATTGAAAAAAAATTTTTTCCCTCTCTATTCCAAAATGTAACATTTGTTCATTTACTGATTCATTCGTTACACGAGGCTGGGTTACTTTTAGTTGTAGGGGGCTAGCCTGTGCATTGTCCTGGTCTCTACCCACTAGATATCAGTAGCCAGCTCCTGTTCCCTCCTACTTATGACCACTGATAACGTCTCCATACATTGTCAAGTGTCCCCTGGGGAGCAACATTGAGAACTACTGGTTTAGTGGAAGAAGAATGGTGCTTTCAGGTTAGCAGGATAAGAATTTGAACTCTGAACCACACTAGCCATTTGTGTGATCTCTGGCAAGTCACTTAGTCCTCTGGACCTCAGATTGCCCACCTAAGAATGGGGATAACAACACGGACTGTTATTTGTATGTGTTAGCCCCACCGCGCCATCAGATGCCTCGATGTCTGGTTAGACACTGTTTGTGGATGCATCTGTGAGGTGTTTTTGAAAGAGATCAGCCCTCGAATCCATAGATTGAGCAAAGCTGATTTTCCTACCCAATGTGAGAGGACATTATTCACTCTGTTGAGGGCCTGAGGTACCGAAACCAGAGGAAGGGACGATTCTGTTTGCCTGGCTGCTTGGGTGGGACATCGATCTGTGGTTCTCAGGCTGAGGCTTATGCTGTCACCCTTACACTTCTTAGGCTCTGGACTTGGACCAGAACTCAGACCATCAGCTCTCCTGGTTTTCCAGCCCTGAGAGTCAGACTGGCATGCTGGTCTCCACCTCAGAATCCTCAGGCTTTTGTAACCACAGGAACCAAGTCCTTGCAACGAATCTCTCTCTTAGTTCCATTCTTCTGGAGATCCTCACTATAATATCTAATACAGTTTTGTAAAATTTACAAAGCGTATTAGTAAAAGTGCCTAATACGTAGGAGTTGTTCAATAAATTTTAATTCTTCACTTAACTTCCAGAGAAGTTGTTACAATTCTTAAATAAACAATTTGTAGCCTAAGAAGATAATATAAATTTTGCTAACAGGTGAGAAATATTTTCCCATGGCACATTTTTTTTTTTTTGAGACAGGGTTTCACTATGTAGTTGAGACTAAACTGGAACTCACTATGTAGTCCAGGCTGGTCTCAAACTCACAGTGATCCTCCTGCCTCAGCCTCCCGAGTGCTGGGAATACAGGTGTGCGCCACCACACCTCTCACATTTAAAGTCCATTTGGCCACACATTTACCAAATTTCCCTTTAACTCTAGGATCCTTCCTTATATTAATTGCAAACAACAATGGAATTAGGCTAAGGGACTCTTACCATATTTTTTCTAGCAAGAATAGTTAAAAGTGTTGTGGGTAGAAGGCTTTTTTTTTTTTTAAATTTTGTTTAGTTTGGTTTTTGCCATGATATTGGTAGCTAATTAAATTTGTGGGAGTATTATTTTAATTTGACCACAAGATCTTACAAATTTCTCCCACCTCCCTAAACCTAAATGTAGATGAATGTGCCCAGATGTGCGCCACCACACCTGGCACATTTAAAGTCCATTTGGCCACACATTTACCAAATTTCCCTTTAACTCTAGGATCCTTCCTTATATTAATTGCAAACAACAATGGAATTAGGCTAAGGGACTCTTACCATATTTTTTCTAGCAAGAATAGTTAAAAGTGTTGTGGGTAGAAGGCTTTTTTTTTTTTTAAATTTTGTTTAGTTTGGTTTTTGCCATGATATTGGTAGCTAATTAAATTTGTGGGAGTATTATTTTAATTTGACCACAAGATCTTACAAATTTCTCCCACCTCCCTAAACCTAAATGTAGATGAATGTGCCCAGAAGACATATGTCCATTTGGCCTGAATATTTGTCACTCATTCACTCTTTTATTAACTTCACTTTCTGAATGCTTACTACACACTACCTAAGTACAGGCATACACAGCTCCTGCCTTAAGAGTTACAAAGAAGGAAATAAGTAAGTGCATGAGTTCAAATGATGTGATGATTATATATATAATTCAATGGAAAGAGATAAGCATTTAAAGTCGGGTAGTTAATAGTAGCTAGCATTTAGGCACTGTTCTTAGCATTTCATTCATACTGACTTTTAACATCTTCCCTACAATTTCATGAAGTAAGCATTTCGGTACAATCCTTTTGCTGTTAAGGAAATTAAGGCATTGTTTAAGATCACACACCTAAGAAGAAGCTGCAGAGCAGATATCTGAGACCTGGCTGTAGAGTTTTCCTAGATTTAGTCTCATTGGCTAATCCATTCATGAGTTCATGCCTCAAAGGGCTGATTTAGAGGTGGGGCCTGACTGGATGAGGTAGGACCCTGGGGATGTTCGTTTGAAGAAAAAGTGGCCATTTCTTGGCTGGTACCTTCCTTGCTTTCTGTTTCCTGGCTGCCTCAAAGTGAGCAGCCTCCACTACCGTGTCCTTGCACCATGATGGTTCTTCCTGGGAGCCAGCCAACCATGGACTGAAACTTCTGAAATTGTGAGCTAAAATAAACCTTTCCTCCTTTAATTTGAGTATGTCAGGTCTTTTGTTCCAGCAATGACCAGCTGACCAATATACACATCTTCTTCCCCTTGGTGATTTCAACCTGCCCAGGAGCTCTAAGTTCACTCATTAAAAACAAACTTACCCATCTTTTGTTCTATATAATTAAATTGTAGTCTTTATGTTAATCTAAACCTTATTTAAGAGAGAAAAATATTCCTGAGTTAAAGACTTTTTGTTCTCAAGGGAGGGGTATTTTCACATTGGTTTTAACCCAGAGAAGGTTCTGGAATGTGGAGACCCCTGGTATCCCTCCCATAGCTGTAGAGAACATTTTAAGGCATAGTACAAATGTACAGTTTGTAATGTAATGGCTAGCTTTGCAGGCTTCTTGAGATCCCATTGTTTCTTGCCTTTTCTTGATTATTTACTTTGTCCCAGGATAGAACTATGTTTTTAAGGAGTTGTGTATTTATTTCAAACCTAAAACTGAAAACAAAATTTAAAGACAGAATATGGCCTTGTCATTTAGAATTATTCAGGTAGGAAATCATCTCAAGTTTCAATAATAAAGATGATGTCCATGTTGGATCGTGCAGGACAATCCAAAATTTAGAATTTAGAAAGAAAGAAAGAAAGAAAGAAAAGGAATTTAGAAGACCATGCGTTGTTCTATGATTTTCTACTTTATCCTTTAAAAAAGTCACTGGGTATGTCTGTTTCACCAAGCAAATTATATTTGCCACTTATTGATCAAAATAATTTCATGGCCTTTAGAGTTTTATTTAAGAACTCTCCAGCCCTTATGAATTGCCCAAATGTGATGATTTGTATAAATAAGTGAGTGCAGAATTTTTCTGGGAAATGAGAGATTTTTGAAGGCAGCGATCATACTGAAGACTCAGGGAGGCTTAATTCGCTGATGCTTGCAAAGTACTTTGAAAATGAAAATCATGATGTCCTTGTGCAGTATGATGAATAACATTTATTCTTGGATAAGTAGAAAGGGATTTATTTTGAGACATTCAAATCTGGTGTGCTGCCTCTACCAAATGCAGATTGTTATCGTGCAGAAAAAGAAAGTAAAACTCTAGATGAAACATGCAAAAATGAGACAGATTTTGAATAAGTCAAATTATTACTCTTGAAAACTTAAATGTACAATGTTGACTTGAAATTAGATAAATGTTACCTCTCCCAATGTATGAGCTTATTCACAGGCAGATGCATGGTTGAAAGGACACTTAGTGTGGAACTGGAAGATCTAAGTTCCAGACCTAAACTGCCTTTCACCCAAAGGACTGGTTAAATCACTGTTTTCTTTATAGAAGTAGGAAAAACAGTATCACCTTTTCTATTTGTTCTCTAGAGTTATTTTGGGACTGAAATGTGATCATCAGTTATTTGGTAATTTCATCAACTATAAACATGCAATTATCATTTCTTGAAAACAAAATGGCAGAAAATGGCTTAAACCCAATAACTAATCATTCACAAGTCATCTATTTCTTAGTGTAGTTAAATAATTTCTTTCTTTTTAATACCACTGCTTATTTTCAGGAATCTTATTTTCAGGCTGAAGATGAGGAATGGTGGGGAATTTCAAAGGAGTTCCTTTTCTTCTGCTGGGTATGGTGTGTCTCATCACCAAACTTCCAGGAGAATTTCAGCTGAAACTTTAGGCTTAGACAAGAGTCATACTGCATTTTATAGGTAAAGACTTTCTAGGGAAACCCAGCATTTGGAATTTCAAATGCCTTGCCAATCTACAAATGAAGCAGTTATCTGGATGAAATATTTGGCATAGTAGAAGTAGGTCTCCCACTAAGAAGCAGACATAAATACCAGCTCTCTTCTAACTCATATTGGGAGCTTCCTGAGGTAAT